CTCGTAATGGAGAGTGGCAAATGGCGAGGAATCGCACTACATATGAACTTGACCTCATATGGTTAGGAACTTACACTTTAATTAACTCCTTTAAAAGCACCAATTCTGTCCGGGAGAGCGCCGGAAGCAACGCAGCCGTCGACACACCGCCCCAAAGCGAAGTGACCGAGAAGCGAGGAATGGATGAAGAGACGGGTGGCGACGAGCGTCGTCACCGTCAAGCAACCCAGCCATCACCATGCCCAAGAATCCATCACCAAAAAGAAGATAAAGTAGAGAGAGAGAGAGAGAGAATCCTTCTCCCTCACCCTCCATCAAAAGCAAAAGCAGAGCCACCAAAGTGATCCATCCATCCTCTCCTCCTCCCATCGGCCTGGCTCGACATGAGACCATGACGAGCCCGCCGGCCCACACCGTCAGCAAACTCGCCGTCGAGGTCATCGACGCCCGCGACCTCGTCCCCAAGGACGGCCATGGCACCTCCAGCCCGTTCGTCATCGTCGAATTCGACGGCCAGCGGAAGCGAACCCACACCGTCGCCCGCGACCTCAACCCGCAGTGGAACGAGCGCCTCGAGTTCGCCGTGGCTAACCCCGCTTCCATGGTCGCCCAGGAGCTCGATGTCGAGGTCTACAACGACAAGAGGATGGGCAGCCCCAGCGGCGCTCGTAAGAACCACTTCCTCGGCCGTGTTCGTATCTGCGGCTCCCAGTTCGCTCGCCGCGGCGAGGAGGCGCTGATCTACTTCCCCCTCGAAAGGCGGAGCCTCCTCAGCTGGATCCGCGGTGAGATCGGCCTCAAGGTGTACTATTACGACGAACCGCTCTCGGACGAGACGAAACCCGTCGGATCGGATCCCAACCAGGCCCCTGCTCCCCCTCCGAGTACCGAGGAGCCCAAGGATGTGCCTCCGGATGTCCCGGCGCCCACGGAGGCCGCCATCGACACGCAGTCCCCGCCACTGGTGTCCGTCGTCGTGGTGGAGAAAACGCCGGTCCAGACTGCGCACGTGAATGCCAACGTGGTGTCACCGCCATCGCCTGACCCGACAACGGTGGAGGCGTACCCGCCAGAGGTGCGGAAGATGCAGACGCCGGCCTGCACGGAGAGGGACCGGGTGTTTTCCAAGAGATTCATCGGCGGCGCCTGCGGCCCGAGGGTTATCTCGGGCCGGTTCGTCGACTGCAACGAGCTCGTCGACCGGCCCCCGCTGGCGACGTACGACCTGGTGGAGCCGATGCAATACCTCTTTGTCCGTGTCGTGAAGGCTCGGGGCCTCCGCCCGTGCGAGAGCCCGCACGTGAAGATCCAGGCGGGGCCGCACACCCGCCGTTCCTTGCCGGGGCGGGACGGCGGCGCCGGCAGCCCGGAGTGGAACCAGGTGTTCGCGCTGAGCCAGTGCAAGCCGGACTCGAGGCTGGAGATCTCGGTGCGGGGAGGCGGGCCCGACGAAGCTTTTCTGGGCGGCGTGTGCTTCGACCTGACGGACGTGCCGGTCCGCGACCAGCCGGACGGCCCCCTGGCCCCCCAGTGGTACCGGCTCGAGGGCGGCAGGGACGATGCGCCGATGACAGGGGATATCATGGTGGCAGTCTGGATTGGGACCCAGGCGGACGAGTCGTTTCCGGAGGCCTGGAACTCGGACGCCACGTACGTGAGCTACACCTACACCCGGTCCAAAGTATACCAGTCGCCCAAGATGTGGTACCTGCGGGCCACCGTCATCGAAGCGCAGGACCTGCGCCTCGCGGCAGCGACGCGGCCCTACGACGTGCGCGTCAAGATCCTACTGGGGATCCAGGCCCTGTGTACCCGGCGGCCCACCGCGGTCAGCAGCAGTGCGTCGTCCATCTCGTGGATGGAGGACCTCATGTTCGTGGCGTCCGAGCCGTTCAGTAACCACGAGATGATCGTGCAGGTGGAGGACCGGTCCACCAAGGAGCCGGTGGTGCTGGGGCACGCAGTGGTGCCGGTGGCGTTGGCGGAGCAGCGGTTGGACGAGCGGCAGGCGGTGGCGTCTCGGTGGTTCAGCCTGGAGGAGGCGGCGGCGTTCGCGGGGTGCCGCTGCGGAGGGGGGCCTGGCGGCGGCTACTACGGCCGGTTGAACCTCCGGTTGTGCCTGGAGGGCGGGTACCACGTGATGGACGAGGCGGCGCACGTGTGCAGCGACTTCCGGCCGACGGCGAAGCAGCTGTGGAAGCCGGCGGTGGGAGTGCTGGAGCTGGGAATCCTGGGGGCCCGCGGCCTGCCGATCAAGGGCGGCGAAGAGGCGGCCAAGAGCTCCACCAACGCCTACTGCGTCGCCAAGTACGGCAAGAAGTGGGTGCGAACGCGGACCGTGGCCGACTGCTTCGACCCGCGTTGGAACGAGCAGTACACGTGGCAGGTGTACGACCCGTGCACGGTCCTTACCGTCGGAGTGTTCGACAACTGCCGCATGTTCGACGCGGCGGGCGACCGGCAGGACTACCGGATCGGCAAGGTTCGGATCCGGGTGTCGACCCTGGAAAGCAACCGCGTGTACACCACCTGGTACCCGATGCTGCAGCTGCAGCCGTCCGGCGTCATGAAGATGGGCGAGGTGCAGCTGGCCGTCCGCTTCGCGTGCTCGGCGCCGTTCCCGGACACCTGGGCTATGTACGCGCAGCCGATGCTCCCCCGGATGCACTACCTTCGGCCAATCGCTGTGTGGAAGCAGGAGGTGCTGCGGGCGTGGGCGATCAGGATGGTGGCCGAGTGGCTCGAGCGGTCGGAACCGCCGCTGGGGCAGGAGGTGGTGCACTACATGCTCGACGTCGACACGCAGTCATGGAGCATCCGGCGGAGCAGGGCCAACTGGTTCAGGGTCCTGTGCGTCCTCGCCTGGGCCTTCGGGCTGGCGAGGTGGGTCGACGACATCCGGCGGTGGAGGAATCCCACCACTACGGTGCTGGTGCACGTGCTCTACCTGGTGCTGGTGTGGTACCCGGAGCTGGTCGTCCCCACCGCGTCGCTCTACATGTCCCTCATCGGGATATGGTACTGCCGGTTCCGGCCGCGGGTACCCGCGGGGATGGACATGGGGCTGTCGCAGGCGAACATGGTGGCGGTGGACGATCTGGACGAAGAGTTCGACCCAGTGCCGAGCGCCAAGCCGGCGGAGGTGGTAAGGGCGCGGTACGACCGGCTGCGGAAGATGGCGGCGCAGGCGCAGAGGCTGCTGGGGGACTTCGCGGCGCAGGGGGAGCGGGTGCAGGCGCTGGTGAGCTGGAGAGATCCCCGGGCGACGAGGCTCTTCATCGTGGCGTGCCTGGTGGTGGCGGTGGTGCTCTACGTGGTGCCCCACAAGATGGTGGCGGTGGGGCTCGGCTTCTACTTCCTCCGCCATCCCATGTTCCGAGATCCGATGCCACCGGCCAGCTTGAACTTTTTTCGGCGGCTTCCCAGTTTAACCGATCGTATGTTGTAGTTGTCTCAGCATCAGATCATGAGAGATAGAAGCAACAGTCGACGAGGAATCCCTGTGACAGGAAGACGTAATATTTGTTGGGTTGACATAGTTTGATTCTCAGGAACAAAAGGCAAATAAGAGAGACGCTACTTGGCAGTTCTCAGGTGTTCCTTCAAGAATAAAAGAATTATTGTCTTTGGCATTAGAATCAACATGAATGTTTCAGCTAGAAAAATATACAATACAACCAAAGTTATTGCTTATGTACTAATCAGTTCTATCTACCCAAACCCATATGGCGTTGCTTGTGGACCAGTTCCAGCTGCCTTTCTCATGGCTTTGGACTGTGCAAGCATCTCGTCTCGTTCTGCTCAAAAGATTTCTTTCATGTGAGGATTGCAATCTAAAAACACCAAAACATTCTATATGAGCAAATAAACCACTCCGGTCTTACCATATCGTGAATCGATGATCTCGTCGGCTGTTCCATAGGCAATAGCTTCTTGAGCTTGGAAATATTTCGGAAGCTGGATGTCCTTTGCAATCTGCAACAATCGGTGTTGGCATCAAAGATCCTTTGCCTGGGAGATGACAGCAACATAAAGATTGCAAAGAGACATGGTAGAATCAGTATGCAGTACTGATGGAAAAATTGAGAGTATCAGACAAGAAACATTATTGTAGAATCAGTATATTATCTTCAGATACATGTTGATATTAAAGACATTGGAAATAAAGTATAAATAAATGAGACTTAAAAAGACCACTTATAAGGGGATTAATTTATGTATCGGATCCGGGTAGAATCTAAACTGACTTAACCAATAAGGAATAATCTGCAAAATAAACTTTACGCACATAAACTCATAGGTCGCATCACTATGCAAGTTCATACAGTCAAATCGTGTTGATATGTAGTAAGTAGAAATCAAATAAGTTGATCGTTGAACGCTATAGGCATCATAAAAAGTGCATCAGAAATAAAAAGCACAATAAATTCCATGGTGAATGCGAAGATACAAAAGGCAAGCATTTGCTAGAAGTGTCTGACATAAGATATATGAAAATATAAAGATTTCTCAACTAAGCTATAGTGAAACTGCATATGCCTTATAGCAGTAGCAACTGTTACTTAACAATATGATTCATTTCAATGTTCCTTGAGATTAACTGATCCTTGGATATCTGAACTAGTTTACTTACAGCTACCTCGTCAGCAATTGCATAAGCCTCGGTTTCAGATCCAACACTTTCCATCTTCTCATTCTGGAAATCATGTAATCAAAATCAGCATATACACAAATTACTGATATTCTAAATCAATTGTTACAGAAAAATATATAATAAATGACATTTTCTTTCCCTGAGGTATGTACGTATGATAATTATTTGTTTTGAGCAGTTCTTACTTGCATCCCAGATAAATAGTTCAGTGTCAGGTGGAACTATCTGTAAAAGAAAAGGGCATAATAGCACATATACATAAGACTGATATATGAAAAATATCCAGTCCATGAAATTTGCATGCTATATTGACCTAATAGAATATCTTACAGGCATGCCAAGATACACAATCCAAGCATCTAAGAGTATAGAAGGTAAATCTGGAGGAACAGTTCTTGGCCTTCCATATCCTCGAGCACATACACGATACATACTCACAATCATACTGTACTTTGATGCACACCCTTTCATGCCTGTTAAACTGTGCATCCCTCCATTGTCAAGGTATTTCTTGCAGAAGAAATGATTTCCTGAAATCACACCCAAAAAGGCACAAAATTGAACCCCATTTTCCGTCTTCGAACAGAAAATGACTTTGAAAAAAAGGAAAATTGGTTCTCAGTTACCTCTCTAACTTTTCTGCATGCTGCCTGACAGGGTTATCTTCGGACACGAACATGTCCATTTGTGAAGCAGTAAGGCCATATATGTATTTAGGAACATTTTTAAAATCGTCCACCACTGTTAACCATTGAAGAAAGAACTTGATTTAAAACACTGTCCAAATCTGTATCCATTTTTTCTAAACATGTATGATTTGTGGTGCCAAAACAATGTGCATGTGATTTACCACAAACATGCAACTGTATTTCTATAGTTTGAGAGTAAATCTCAACTTTCATGGAGGTAATTAAAGTCTTCATTAGTTCTAGAAGTGAATACTCAATAAGTAAGAAGGTCATGTCAATCTCAAGCCAGAAAAAAAGATATCTATTACTACTTACATGTACTAAATTAATTTATTCAGAAAGATAGAAATTTGCATCTGAGACATTAAGATGTTAACAAATGTCATTATCTTTTTGCCTGAACCTTCACAAATAGTTTGGGCAATGGTAGAACATAGATGAAAGGCCTACAATGATTCAGTTCAATAAAAGAACAATTTATCAATTTTGGGGTATCATAAATTTGTTTATTCATCCAGTCTATAGCCTTTAATTATTGAGTAGGCAATGGTAAATCTTACAAACATGTGCAGCTAGTATCTACCCTTAAAGGCCCTTACCGATGTTCTCTAAATTTACCATGAAAAAACTCAATCAAAGCATTAGCTGGATACCAACATTAGACCCATTGTGATCCTCCAAAGCCATGCTCTCTACGTCATACACCCCAGGTGGCTAGCATTATTTCAAGCTATGCACCTCCATGTCGTTCATAAGAAGATTGAGAAGAAGGTACCTCATATTTCACCCTTATGTCAGTGCTTGGACGCATGCCTAGGTCACACCCAATTGAGGGCACCTGCCCGGACCTGACCTGTTACTGACCACTTGGGCCTCGCCTCGCATAGGCTCCTAGGTGAGCACCTGAGCCCTTGATGGCTTCATTGCTTGATGTAGCAACTAACCAATCTGAAGGAATGATGATAACAGTGTTTAATGTTTATCTTATATAGAATCTCACAAGGATTGAATGAGAACTACAAGTCCAAACATATTTAAAATAGTAAGATTATGTGCACAAATAGAGAGAAAGACTCCAAAAGTTGACATTTTTTATCAAGATTAGATGTTCACATATTCACAATAATAGGATGAACATAATACTGTGGGACCAATTTAATTTATTTCTTATTTGAATAAATTTGATTAGTTTAGAGTATTTTGAGTATGTCATAAGTTGTCACATAACATCTACAATATTTTTAATTTCTTAGATTGATTCTGAGGATCAACAATAAAATTAACGAATAAATAAAGGAAAAAATCATCTAGCTTAAGAATGGATGACTTTGTATTTTCTACTTTATTATTATTTTTTTCTTTTCTTCTTCTTGGGATGGAGCTAGAAGATTATAATAACATAGGAGAATGGATTAAAAATTGAGTTTGTTTCCCACATTATGTGTAAGTGGTACAAGAACATAAATCTTTTTTCAATGGAATGATTCTATCATCCACGTATATGAGAGGTCTTGATTGTGAGAGTATTCTCCTTGAGCATAAGTGAGTCTGATAGCTATTTATTTCATTTCTCATTGTCTTTTTGTTATTATATTTCTTCTTCTTCTCTTATCTTCTTTATTCTCAAACAAAAAAAATATTTTATTATTCGTCCAAATTGATTTGAATTTAAGGTTTTGGTTTAACCAAAATGTACTATCATCATGTTTCAATTTTATAAACTCAAGTTGAGTTACTAGGCAACGAGCATGTATGAATTGATGCCGACCTTATTTTTTTATTTGAATAAATTTGGTTAGTTCAAAGTTATTCCAAGCAAGGATTACAATTTCGATCCATACCGATGTACCGAGCCTTATTCAGTATAGTACATACCGAGGCGTACCACTGATACGTCCAAAATCATCAAAAATATCTTCAAAAATATCTAAAAAATAGAAGGAAAAAATATATTAGGGTTTTTAAGTTAGAAATAAATATAAGTTTAGTGCAATTTTAGCAAAAATAATGTTAAGTAGGAAAGAATAGTGTCACATATCTTTTTTAGGCTTTAAGGAGTAGTTTTGTGGTATGTTCCGGATCGTCTTTCCGTTAATATTGAATTATTTACAAAGAAATTATTTGAATTGCTAGATTATGCTTTATGCAACTTAAACCTTCAAATTCAAATGAATTAAGTAATCAATCGATGGATATACATGGTTCTACCACTAAAAGGAATGACGAGACTCCACGGGCGATGGATCGAGGGCCTCATTCCTATGTATCTATATATCAATATGATATGCTTGTCAGACCCAATCCTAAAATTGATCCCACAAAATAGTGTATTGATACACCGTATACCATTGGTGCATCAATGTAGTCATGGTCGTAGTTTGATCATCGTGAACCACATGTGTCCGAGGCGACTCTTGAGGCAAGGACGAATGTAACATGTATTGGTGCGAAGCATAGAGAATGTCAAAACTTCTGCTTTTGCTACTGATCTGTTGCTCCGTATCATAAGATCGATCATCGTGGCGTTGCTCGAAGAAGTATGACCAACTATCACTGTATTGTTGTTGGTTGCAAAATTCTTTATAATACGACAGCTGTGAATACAATGAGCTTCGCTCTGTGTTTACGTCGTGTAGACCCTGTCGCATTTGCTCAAATTATAGCTTTGTTGAGTTTAAGAAAGTGAAAATATAAGAATAAGAGAGATGTGAGTAAAAAAGAGTTTAAAAGAGTTTAAGAGATTGAAAGAGTGAAATGAATTAAAAGAGGGTGAATGAAAGAGTTTAAAACCCTTTTCTAAGTCTCAAACGGTCAAATTGATCATTTGAAATAGAATAATTTCAGCTCTTGATTGGTATGGTCGAAATCCGATCATTACCAATGGGTACAAGTCGCTAATGGTCGGATTTTGGCTAATACCGCCCGGTACAGACCTCGTATTGCCCAATACGAGGTCAAGTAACCGATACCACTCGATAAAGGCGATCCGCGTACCGGTATCCTGTTGGATCGATGCATTCCGCCCAATATGTCACAAGTAGTTAGATGGTAACATTTAAAATATTTCTAATTTTATGAAAAATATTGATTATGAAAATAAAGTATGGAAATAAATGAAGAAAAATACAAAAAAAAAGTATAAGGAATACTATCAACACCAAGAAAAATGCTTACTTAGCAAAAATTGAAAACTTATCTTTAAAAAAAAAGGGGAAGAAACTAACTTATTTGGTTAGTTGTGTTTTCATGCTTATTTTTTTTTTCCTTTTATTATTCTACTTGTGGTCAATAAAAAGGGC